AAAATAAATAACAGAAAAGTGGTGCTTGCATATGTATTCACCCCCTTTGCTATGAAGCCCCTAAATAAGATCTGGTGCAACCAATTACCTTCAGAAGTCACATAATTAGTTAAATAAAGTCCACCTGTGTGCAATCTAAGTGTCACATGATCTCAGTATATATACACCTGTTCTGAAAGGTCCCAGAGTCTGCCACACCACTAAGCAAGAGGCACCACCAAGCAAGCGGCACCATGAAGACCAACGAGCTCTCCAAACAGGTCAGGGACAAAGTTGTGGAGAAGTACAGATCAGGGTTGGGTTATAAAAAAATATCAGAAACTTTGAACATCCCACAGAGCACCATTAAATCCATTATAAAAAAATGGAAAGAATATGGCACCACAACAAACCTGCCAAGAGAGGGCCGACCCACAAAAACTCACGGACCAGGCAAGGAGGGCATTAATCAGAGAGACAACAAAGAGACCAAAGATAACCCTGAAGGAGATGCCAAGCTCCACAGCGGAGATTGGAGTATCTGTCCATAGGACCACTTCTGTGGTCCTCTGTAGCTCATCTGGTAGAGCACGGCGCTTGTAACGCCAAGGTATTGGGTTCGATCCCCGGGACCACCCATACACAAAAATGTATGCACGCATGACTGTAAGTCGCTTTGGATAAAAGCGTCTGCTAAATGGCATATTATTATTATAAGCCGTACACTCCACAGAGCTGGGCTTTACAGAAAAGTGGCCAGAAAAAAGCCATTGCTTAAAGAAAAAAATAAGCAAACACGTTTGGTGTTCGCCAAAAGCCATGTGGGAGACTCCCCAAACATATGGAAGAAGGTACTCTGGTCAGATGAGACTAAAATTGAGCTTTTTGGCCATCAAGGAAAACACTATGTCTGGCGCAACCCAACACCTCTCATCACCCCGAGAACACCATCCCCACAGCGAAGCATGGTGGTGGCAGCATCATGCTGTGGGGATGTATTTCATTGGCAGGGACTGGGAAACTGGTCAGAATTGAAGGAATGATGGATGGCGCTAAATACAGGGAAATTCTTGAGGGAAACCTGTTTCAGTATTCCAGAGATTTGAGACTGGGACGGAGGTTCACCTTCCAACAGGACAATGACCCTAAGCATACTGCTAAAGCAACACTTGAGTGGTTTAAGGGGAACCATTTAAATGTCTTGGAATGGCTTAGTCAAAGCCCAGACCTCAATCCAATTGAGAATCTGTGGTATGACTTAAAGATTGCTGTACACCAGCGGAACCCATCCAACTTGAAGGAGCTGGAGCAGTTTTGCCTTGAAGAATGGGCAAAAATCCCAGTGGCTAGATGTGCCAAGCTTATAGAGACATACCCCAAGAGAACTGCAGCTGTAATTGCTGCAAAAGGTGGCTCTACCAAGTATTTAATTATTTGTTTCACCCCAAAAAATATTTTGCATCTTCAAAGTGGTAGGCATGTTGTGTAAATCAAATGATACAAACCCCCAAAAAATCAATTTTAATTCCAGTTTGTAAGGCAACAAAATAGGAAAAATGCCAAGGGGGGTGAGTACTTTCGCAAGCCACTGTATGCCTCTGTGATATAAAGCCAATAAAAGAGAAACCTGCACACTGCTCTTGCTCATAACACTTGTTTTATAAGCCCAGAATATCACTTTGTGCTCCCTGCAACAGTCAGCAAGGTTAGTTGGGGAAAATACATGTTCTCTTTCATTCTGTTATATGCCTATTCTTACTATAAAATATGTGTTGTTGACTGTGATAAAGGCACGGGATCATAGGCAGCGGGTTCAAGTTTAGGAAAGCGAATTTTCACTAGAAAAATGCACCTTTATAATAAAGCATTCCATGCATCATCGCATTTGCAGACTTATGTAAGATGATACTATTTATTGGTAATGTGATGAGTAGATTTGATAGTCATAATTTAGGCTGTTAATATAACTCAATCACTGTTCGCAAAAAAAGACAGTTCAATGCATGGCTGAGCGCATATAGTGTAGAGTAGGCCTAGGCTATAGGCTATATCAGATACAGGAAAAAATGTGGCTTTTATAAACACATGTCATGCAATTCTACTACACTTTATATGACTGGAGGCAGCAGAATCTTTCTTAATACGATAAATTACGGGTAGCCTACTTTGCTGACACTGACAAATATACACTGTATTATACAAAAGTATGTGGACACCCCTTCAAATTAGTGGATTCGGCTATTTCAGCCACACCCGTTGCTGACAGGTGTATAAAATTGAGCACACAGCCATGCAATCTCCATAGACAAACATTGGCAGTAGAATGGCCCGTACTGAAGAGCTCTTTCAACATGGCGCCGTCATAGGATGCCACCTTTCCAACAAGTCAGTTCATCAAATTTCTGCCCTGCTAGAGTATCCCAGGTCAACTGTAAGTGCTGTTATTGTGGAGTGGAAACGTTTAGGAGTAACAACGGATCAGCCACGAAGTGGTATGCCACGCAAGCTCACAGAACGGGACCGCCGAGTGCTGAAGCGCGCAGCATGTACAAATCGTCTGTCCTCGGTTGCAACACTCACTACAGAGTTCCAAAACTGCCTCTGGAAGCAACATCAGCACAAGAACTGTTTGTCGGGAGCTTCATGAAATGGGTTTCCATGGCCGAGCAGCCGCAAACAAGCCTAAGATCACCATGTGTAATGCCAAGCGTCGGCTGGAGTGGAGTAAAGCTCGCCGCCATTGGACTCTGGAGCAGTGGAAACGTTCTCTGGAGTGATGAATCACGCTTCACCATCTGGCAGTCCGACGGATGAATCTGGGTTTGGCGGATGACAGGAGAACGCTAGCTGCCCCAGTGCATAGTGCCATCTGTAAAGTTTAGTGGAGGAGGAATAATGGTCTGGGGCTGTTTTTCATGGTTCGGGCTAGGCCTCTTAGTTCCAGTGAATGGAAATGTTGTACATTCAGTATATATTATGTATTTTATTTGTTGTATTGTTTCCGGTTTGGACCCCAGGAAGAGTAGCCGCTGGCTGCATTGGCAGCGGCTAATTGGGGATCCCAATAAAATACTAAATACTAAGTGAATATAGTGAAACATTTTATTTGCAAAACAAAATGTAATTTTATTCAAACCAATATATTTTTTATTGGTATCAAAGTATTATACAGCATTTATAAAAAAAGAAATATTTACATAGTATAAAATATATTTAAGTAAAAAAAAAAAATATCATAGGAAAGGTGGATGGTTAGATTGATATCTGGGATACTTACATACACATGGTTTAAAAAGCTGTGTTTGGGAGACATTTCAACAGACAATGCTCTGTAGCCAAAAATAACCCGTGCAAGTGAGGGCTCTTTCACCTCAGCTATGTGAAATAGTTATCTTGCAATCAATGACAGATCACAATGTATCAAAAAAAGTGAAGAAATGGTATCAGTGGCCTGCACTGATACACTGCAGCACCAATTACTTTTTCATTGACGCTAGCTGCATGACAAATGGCTGCACACTACAACATGAATAAAGTTTACAGCACCATCCTGGAGTAGTCAGAGAAGAGCATGAAGGACGTTTTACCTGATGAGGTATCACTGTGACAACTGTTGATATGCGATGCTTGGCTTCCACCACTGTAAAATCATCATATCAATGTTGTGTTAAAGGGACATTATACTCCAAAATCAAACTTTGTCATACGTCTTCAGGCCTCAAAACTAGACTAAAGTCAGGATGAATTCACAACCCTCTAGCTATATGCGTCAACCGCAAATAAATGGAAAAGATAAGCTTATCGTTTCCATTCATTTTGGATTGTGGCATATAGCGGGATGTACAAAACAGATGTCGTGGATTTACGTTAACAGAACACTACTTTTAAGGTATCAAAACATCTGACAAACGTTGATTTTGGAGTGTAATGTACCTTTAAGTGTTAAAGGCAAAGCACTTTATTTGAGGTACACGTTTACCTTCCTCGTTGAGTCTGTTTGAGCACCTGTGTGTGAAATAGAAAGCTCAATGAGGCTGGAGAGAAAATGTGGGTCCCTGTCAAATAGGTGTACACTGCTACACCTGATAGGTTTTGTCGAAACAATGGCAGAAAAGAAAGCGGGAAAATGCTTGAGACTCATCTGTGGATAAAACACTTTTGACAACACATAAACAACAATAAATAAGAATGAAGGCTATATATCAAGTAATATATATATATATATATATTCAGCAGAGGCTATAGTTTGTTAAATGTGCATTTCCTGAGAAGAGTATCATTGGCTGTTGATGGGGTGATGAGCACCAATAAGAAACATGGAATTGTCACCTCACTTTTCTAGTACACCGGTTGACGTTTTAAAAGAGAAAAGTACTCATACAGTATTGAAATAATACTCTAACTACTATTTCTAATGATTTGAAAATGCCACTGTTCAATAGTAGGTTAAAGAGGCTATACAAAACCTTTGTAACAGTCATTGGCCTCTGGTACAGAACAAAGGCAAATACAAGTAAATAAAAGAACATTCCACTACTTATTATTCGATGCAATAAGAGGTAAGCATTTGTCTTGAGACAAAAAGCTGGCTATTGATTGATTGCGTTATGATGGTCAATAACTAAAGTGTTGAAGTTACTTATCTTGAATGAAGATGTCCATTTACAGTTACCAGTTGCGTACATAGATTTATTTTCAGTTAGCTGGCCGTGTGCTCTTTAACGTATCTCTGAAAGCCTGTGCATCGATTTTACACCAGCAAATATCATATTGTGGATGGTATACCCAATTCATCCGTTGAAATATGACCTCAATTTCTAGTGGTCTTCAGACAGCCACGAACCTCAGACTGGGTTCATAATGAAGGTTTCAACCAAGTCCTCACCTCTAATAGACCAACAGCTGCAGTCAACCTGTTGATGTCACGCAATGATGAAATTATATCAGTCTAAAGTCCCACTGGAACGACATCAGTCTTAAGCACAAACAAATTAATTTGGCCGTGATATTCCATTCACCTCTTGGGGCGATACGGACTCTTCCTGGGCTTTATCGATAATAGGAAGCGGGCAGCCAAAGAAGTCCATGCCGATATAGCGTGGGTATCCTTCCAGAACCTTCATCTCCACCGGGTCAAACTTCCAATACTGCATCCCACTCAGGAAATGAGCATATCCTGTCAAGAGGACAAAGGGTCAACAATCAGTCCACTGCAGTTCAACAGAATTATCATGGCTTGTATACACACACACACTTTCAATGTCAGTGTCACTTTAAATGCATTCAATGTAAGCAGGACGAACCCTGATGACTCGCTGGCTCGCGACACGTACAAGGCAAGCAGGTACAAGCTGAAGCCTCCGTCCTAGACAAGCTTAACACATTCTATGCTCGCTTCGAGGCAGACAATGCCGGGCCATCCAGGAAGGCTCCGGGCAACCAAGTGCTTTCGCTCTCCGAGGCAGACATGAGGAAAACCCTCAAAAGAGTGAATATCCACAAAGCCGCCGGCTCAGATGTCATCCCTGGCCGCATCCTCAGTGTGTCCTGACCAGCTGGTGGGCATCTTCTCGCACATATTCAACCTGTCCATGTCCCAGGCTGTAGTCCCCTCCTGCTTCAAGGAGACCACCATCGTCCCAGTGCCCAATAAAAACAAGGTGACATGCCCAAATGACTTATTGCCCCGTCGCACTCACCCCGGTCATCATGAAGTGCTTCGAGAGAGAGGCTGGTCATGACCCACATCAAGGCCAGCATGCCAGGCACACTGGACCCACTTTACATCGCTACTCACATGACCCTAACACATCTGGACAAGAAGAACACCTATGTGAGAATGCTGTTCATTGACATGCCCCGATCCAAATCAATGGGACTGCAGTAGAGAGTCAGCGGTTTTAAATTCCTTGGCGTCCATGGACCAACAACACCACCACTCTTCCCACTGGGCACACACTGGTTGAATCAATGATTTTGTACGTTTCTATGTGGAATTTTCAATGCAATTTCAACGTATATTGTTTTGATGATTATGTTGAAATTAGATTGTAACAACCTTTTAGTCAGTTTAAGTCAATGTATTGAAGTTGAAGTTTTACCCTAATTTCAATGTTTACAACGCTGGTTGAAATTAAATAAAAACAGTGCTGGTTAATGACTTTTTCAAATCCAATGTATTTTCCATGTTGATTCCACATCACAATACATTCACAAATTATGTTGAAACAACATTGATTCAACCAGTGTGTGCCCAAGTGGGTTGTCAAAAGGGCGCAATAGCGTCTCTACTTTCTAAGGCGGCTGAAGAAATTGGGCATGCCACCACGTGTCCTCTCCAAATACTACTGCTGCACCATCGAGAGCGTTCTGACCGGTTGCATCACGGCCTGGTAAAGGAATTGCTCCGTCCACGACCACAAGGCCCTCCAGTGGGTGGTGAAGACGGGCCAGTACATCACTGGGACCGTGCTTCCACCCATCCAGGACATCTACTCGAAACGGTGCCTGAGGAAGGCCCCACACCCCAGCCACAAGCTGTTCACTCCCTTACCGTCGGGCAGACGATATCGGAGCTTGAGGTCTGAAACCAACAGGCTCAGAGGCAGTTCCCAGCTAGCACATAACGTTCTGGAGAATCATATGATTCTTAGAGCTTGGTGAGAGCACAGTTGTCTTATGGTTATTTTGCATACAACTGTGAAGGAAAATGTTATGTTTGTGCTTTTCTAATAACCAATTTGACTGGGTTCATGCAAGTGACTGATTGATATTGTCTGGGAGGAATCCTCACTATAAGTATAAGCAATTTAGCAGTATGCCCAGAATATTGCTGTATGAGAACCGAAAGGGGTATCTCAGTTTCAAGGACTCAGCTTGGAGAGAAGAAGCCTCGTGAGGTATTGGTCAGTCACGTGCAGGAACTAAAGTTAATGATGAATAATGAATCATGTAAATCATACTTATATAACTTTGTATAGCCGTATATAAGAGAACTAACGGGACTCCCGACCGACATGTACTATGGTGCTTTAAGTTTGTTCAGTGTCCCTGGTGGTAATTTCCACGACACAACCTTCCCACAACTTTCTGGGAATGGTGCAGGATAGCTGCTTGGCTTTGGAACATTTATGTTCGTATACTTATCTTTCATTATTTCTTATTGTTGTTGCATTGTCGAGAAGGACCCTGCAAGTAAGCATTTCGTTGGGCGGTGTATACCATGTGTATCCTGTACATACGACTAATACAACTTGTAACTTGAAACACACAAACACACACAATTGAACTGTCAGAAATACACAATTCCTTGCTATCAATTCAACTGGGCACACACAACACCACATGGTGGATCATGGCCAAATATGTACATTATTAACTTATCTTTTCTTCTTATAGTAATGCAAGTACGACTCTCACCATATCGGTCCTGGAAGGCGGCGTCGATGTCCATGGGGATGCCCCTCCAGTCCTGCATGCTGCGCGGGTGGGCTGTCTCCACCCGGTTCTCCAGGGGGCTGAAGCACCAGTAGGTGCCCGACTTGAAGAGGTAAGTCTTCTGGGCCTTGTCCTCGCCCCACATGAGGGCTGCCTGGATGTCCGACACGTGGAGGCCCAGCCGACTCAACGAGTCCGGCCCAGTGATCTTCCTCTCCGCGTCAAACACCCAGTAACTGTCACCTTTTGATGATGTCACACACAGGGGACCCAAATGAGAACACACCATAAATTGCTCGTCTTTTAAGACACAGATCTAGGATCAGATTAGGATTAGTCTACTCCCAATTGTAATGTTAACTTTTTGTGGGATGGAATCATATCAGACCCTGTATCACTTTTGTGCTAAGCAGACAGTGGGTCACATAAACCACTTCAGATGCACAGGCTGAAACCTGTACCCTGTGTTTCATCTCCCTCCCTACTGCTGCTGTTTGTAGGAGCTGCGGACCTAATTGGCCCACCCAAACACTGGCTAAGCCCTGGTGGGAGGTGGGGAGTTTACATGACCATTAAAACAACACACACCTACATACACACTACACACACTATACACCCTTGCAAGTGTGGACCGTGTTTCTGTCATCTGTCATCACTATGATTGACATTGTTCAAATAAACAAAACCAGAGCATAAGAGTCCTTAAGCCATGGATTGTTTGTGTATGAATTAACTAAAATCACTTGCATTTACCCCCCTGCATATTTCCCCCCTGGTGATCTGCTGTCTAATCCTTCCATTTTAGAAGTTTGACCTAACTTGACTTTCAGAAAAATGGCTCTCAAAGCCCACACTTTCGGTCCCACTCAGAACTGCTACCAATGTGCCAGAGTCTGGTATAGCAGTCTAAACTCCCGACTCTGGACCACACAAGTCTCACCTTGGGCCTCTCCTGTCTGTACCCTTCCTTTCTTTACCCCTACCATACCTGTCTCCAAATTTGCTTCGAAATGTCCTGTCATAAAATAATATCTTCTTTAAAAATATATATACAGTGGGGAGAACAAGTATTTGATACACTGCTGATTTTTCAGGTTTTCCTACTTACAAATCATGTAGAGGTCTGTAATTTTTATCATAGGTTCACTTCAACTGTGAGAGATTGAATCTAAAACAAAAATCCAGAAAATCACATTGTATGATTTTTAAGTAATTAATTTGCATTTTATTGCATGACATAAGTATTTGATCACCTACTAACCAGTAAGAATTCCGGCTCTCACAGACCTGTTTGTTTTTCTTTAAGAAGCCCTCCTGTTCTCCACTCATTACCTGTATTAACTGCACCTGTTTGAACTCGTTACCTGTATAAAAGACACCTGTCCACACACTCAATCAAACAGACTCCAACCTCTCCACAATGGCCAAGACCAGAGAGCTGTGTAAGGACATCAGGGATCAAATTGTAGACCTGCACAAGGCTGGGATGGGCTACAGGACAATAGGCAAGCAGCTTGGTGAGAAGGCAACAACTGTTGGCGCAATTATTAGAAAATTGAAGTTCAAGATGACGGTCAATCACCCTCGGTCTGGGGCTCCATGCAAGATCTCACCTCGTGGGGCATCAATGATCATGAGGAAGGTGAGGGATCAGCCCAGAACTACACGGCAGGACCTGGTCAATGACCTGAAGAGAGCTGGGACCACAGTCTCAAAGAAAACCATTAGTAACACACTACGCCGTCATGGGTTAAAATCCTGCAGCGCACGGAAGGTCCCCCTGCTCAAGCCAGCGCATGTCCAGGCCCGTCTGAAGTTTGCCAATGACCATCTGGATGATCCAGAGGAGGAATGGGAGAAGGTCATGTGGTCTGATGAGACAAAAATATAGCTTTTTGGTCTAAACTCCACTCGCCGTGTTTGGAGGAAGAAGAAGGATGAGTACAACCCCAAGAACACCATCCCAACCGTGAAGCATGGAGGTGGAAACATCATTCTTTGGGGATGCTTTTCTGCAAAGGGGACAGGACGACTGCACCGTATTGAGGGGAGGATGGATGGGGCCATGTATCGCGAGATCTTGGCCAACAACCTCCTTCCCTCAGTAAGAGCATTGAAGATGGGTCGTGGCTGGGTCTTCCAGCATGACAACGACCCGAAACACACAGCCAGGGCAACTAAGGAGTGGCTCAAGGTCCTGGAGTGGCCTAGCCAGTCTCCAGACCTGAACCCAATAGAACATCTTTGGAGGGAGCTGAAAGTCCGTATTGCCCAGCGACAGCCCCGAAACCTGAAGGATCTGGAGAAGGTCTGTATGGAGGAGTGGGCCAAAATCCCTGCTGCAGTGTGTGCAAACCTGGTCAAGACCTACAGGAAACGTATGATCTCTGTAATTGCAAACAAAGGTTTCTGTACCAAATATTAAGTTCTGCTTTTCTGATGTATCAAATACTTATGTCATGCAATAAAATGCAAATTAATTACTTAAAAATCATACAATGTGATTTTCTGGATTTTTGTTTTAGATTCCGTCTCTCACAGTTGAAGTGTACCTATGATAAAAATTACAGACCTCTACATGCTTTGTAAGTAGGAAAACCTGCAAAATCAGAATGTATCAAATACTTGTTCTCCCCACTGTATATAGTTGCAAGCAGCCATGTTTCAAGCCCTATGGCACTACAGCGCCACCATCAGGATAACTTTGACTTATTGCCCTTGGATGAGCTACTTCTTACCATACCTGCCAAATATCAGAGCTCAAAAGCCACTGCTACCAACAGACAGTGGAGCCCATAGAAATATACTTACTCAAATGGGTAAAGTCCCCCAGAGTATGGTAGTTATTCTGTTTTTATGGTGGAACCCACCTTGGAAGAACCAGCTGTTTCCAGTCTTGTCTTCATAGGCCGCATCAATGTTATTGGGGATCCCCCTCCAGTGGCGCGTTGCTAGCGCCGGGTACCCAACCTGCAGTCGGCCGTTGCGGATACGCCACACATAGCGGGACTTGAAGAAGAACAGCTCGCCCCTGATCATGGACACTGCGTCAAAGTTAGTCCTGCAGGGGTCCGGCTGTGGCCAAGTCATGGCGAGAGAGACACACAGTGAGCACAGGTTGTCATGCAAAAGCAATATGGCGGAAGCTCAACTCAGCCTATTGGAAGGCTAGACACTTTCTTGAATCTCAACTTTTGTCAACAACATTAATTGGGCCATTGAAATGAGCATTGCGTATAAGCCTACTAATGTTTAAGTTTATTGAGAAAGTATTCACACCCCTTGACTTTCTTTTTGTTAAAATGTTTCTTCCACTTTGACATTACAGAGTATGTTGTGTAGATCGTTGACAAAAAATGACAATTAAATCCATTTTAATCCCACTTTGTAACACAACAAAATGTGGGAAAAGTCAAGGGGTGTTAATACTTTCTGAAGGCACTGTATATGCTCCCAACAATGGATGTGATCACTAATAAGTTGAACTTCTATTAATGTTTTGTCATGTGCTGTCCTCACCACAGTGTTTTCGATCTCATTGGTCTCTGTGATGACAGGGGGGGCTTTCCGCGGTGGGCCGTAGAGGTGTTGGATGCCCTGCTTGTCATCGTCACTCAGCCCCAACGGGTATGAGAAGCTGTAGAATGGGGACATGACGGCTCCGTCGACCAGGGAGTGCTGGAGGCCGAGGACGTGGCCAAACTCATGGGCCGCCACCTGCAGGAGGTCTGTGCCTGAGGGACCACCATGGGACATAGGACAAGGGACAGTAACAGAGGGCTTTAACCAAACTTTCCTGAGCAAAATTTAGGCAGTAACCTTGCAGTATCTTTGGCAATGTTTATTCAGTATCTTCCCTTATAAACTACTACGGATGTAGGATCCTAATTTGAGCCATTTTGCTACAGAAAGAAAATAATTCTGCAGCAACAAGAAATGAGACTTATTATGTGGATTATAATTAATGGGCATTTTTGTAGGGGTGATACATTTTTCGTAAGGTAAAATCAAGTCAAAAATTTCAAAGTGGAAATTACAAACTTCAGAACCCTTTTTAAACCTCAAATACACTACAAGTTTTAAATGTCCTGCATTGCAGGAAAGTTCTCCTGCAACAGGGTGTTCAAATTAAGATCCTACATCTGTACGTATAGGCTCATAAATCGCTTATTTATGCTATTCACTCACCCATGCTGTTGCCCACTGTCCAACTCTCGTCATAGTCAAAGTGGATGTCCCCTGCCCGGTGAGTTCTGGGAAAAAAGGCATGAGCCAGAATGCCTCCAGGACCATCAAAGGGCAGGTTGTCACCATGCCAGTACCTACACAACAAACACAGAGGCACAAGGCCGGGTGGTCACCCATTTTGTTTTAGACAAAGTTCACCTCATGACCACTTCATAAGTCATAACGTCACTTTAGGGGCTCCATACAAATCTGATTTACGTGTTTGTTATTAAGTTTGTACTTTACATACAAGGGATGTATCCATTTTGAGATGAATTAAGATTCACTTGAAGGGGATATTGACACTGAATATTTGCTGGGTTCTCGGCTCAGATATTCAAGTAGGCTCCATTGGACCTTCTGTACAGTAAATGATCAAAGTAATGCTGTCATCGCAGACAGTATTTAAAATTGATAAAATTTAGATTTTGTGTCCAAAGTAGAATTACAGTGGGGAAAAAAAGTATTTAGTCAGCCACCAATTGTGCAAGTTCTCCCACTTAAAAAGATGAGAGAGGCCTGTAACTTTCATCATAGGTACACGTCAACTATGACAGACAAAATGAAGAAAAAAAATCCAGAAAATCACATTGTAGGATTTTTAATGAATTTATTTGCAAATTATGGTGGAAAATAAGTATTTGGTCAATAACAAAAGTTTCTCAATACTTTGTTATATACCCTTTGTTGGCAATGACACAGGTCAAACGTTTTCTGTAAGTCTTCACAAGGTTTTCACACACTGTTGCTGGTAATTTGGCCCATTCCTCCATGCAGATCTCCTCTAGATCAGTGATGTTTTGGGGCTGTCGCTGGGCAACACGGACTTTCAACTCCCTCCAAAGATTTTCTATGGGGTTGAGATCTGGAGACTGGCTAGGCCACTCCAGGACCTTGAAATGCTTCTTACGAAGCCACTCCTTCGTTGCCCGGGCGGTGTGTTTGGGATCATTGTCATGCTGAAAGACCCAGCCACGTTTCATCTTCAATGCCCTTGCTGATGGAAGGAGGTTTTCACTCAAAATCTCACGATACATGGCCCCATTCATTCTTTCCTTTACACGGATCAGTCGTCCTGGTCCCTTTGCAGAAAAACAGCCCCAAAGCATGATGTTTCCACCCCCATGCTTCACAGTAGGTATGGTGTTCTTTGGATGCAACTCAGCATTCTTTGTCCTCCAAACACGACGAGTTGAGTTTTTACCAAAAAGTTCTATTTTCGTTTCATCTGACCATATGACATTCTCCCAATCCACTTCTGGATCATCCAAATGCACTCTAGCAAACTTCAGACGGGCCTGGACATGTACTGGCTTAAGCTTAAGATTTGAGTCCCTGGCGGCGTAGTGTGTTACTGATGGTAGGCTTTGTTACTTTGGTCCCAGCTCTCTGCAGGTCATTCACTAGGTCCCCCCGTGTGGTTCTGGGATTTTTGCTCACCGTTCTTGTGATCATTTTGACCCCACGGGGTGAGATCTTGCGTGGAGCCCCAGATCGAGGGAGATTATCAGTGGTCTTGTATGTCTTCCATTTCCTAATAATTGCTCCCACAGTTGATTTCTTCAAACCAAGCTGCTTACCTATTGCAGATTCAGTCTTCCCAGCCTGGTGCAGGTCTACAATTTTGTTTCTGGTGTCCTTTGACAGCTCTTTGGTCTTGGCCATAGTGGAGTTTGGAGTGTGGCTGTTTGAGGTTGTGGACAGGTGTCTTTTATACTGATAACAAGTTCAAACAGGTGCCATTAATACAGGTAACGAGTGGAGGACAGAGGAGCCTCTTAAAGAAGAAGTTACAGGTCTGTGAGAGCCAGAAATCTTGCTTGTTTGTAGGTGACCAAATACTTATTTTCCACCATAATTTGCAAATAAATTCATTAAAAATCCTACAATGTGATTTTCTGGAATTTTTTTTCTCAATTTGTCTGTCATAGTTGACGTGTACCTATGATGAAAATTACAGGCCTCTCTCATCTTTTTAAGTGGGAGAACTTGCACAGTTGGTGGCTGACTAAATCCTTTTTTCCCCACTGTATGTTTATAGAAATGTTCACAAATTAATTAAAAATGAAAAGCTGAAATGTCTTGAGTCAATAAGTATTCAACCTCTTTCTTATGGCAAGCCTAAATAGGAATAAAACTGTGCTTAGCAAGTCACATAATAAGTTGCATGGACTCACTCAATAATAGTGTATAACATGATTTTTAAATGACTACCCCATCTCTGTACCCCACACATACAATTATCTGTAAGGTCCAGGGACGTTTTCCAATGCCTCACAAAGAAGGGCACCTATTGGTAGATGGGTAAAAAAAAAAAAAAGCAGACATTGAATATCCCTTTGAGCATGGTGAAGTTATTAATTACACTTTGGATGGTGACACCTAGTCACTACAAAGATATAGGCGTCCTTCCTAACTCAGATGCAGGAGAGGAAGGAAACCGTGGGGCCAATGGTGACTTTAAAACAGTTACAGAGTTTAATGGCTGTGATAGGAGAAAATTGAGAATGGATATTAAACATTGTAGTTACATTTTACATTTACATTTTAGTCATTAAGCAGACGCTCTTATCCAGAGCGACTTACAGTTAGTGAATTTTTTTAAATTTTTTTATTTTTTTCTTTCATACTGGTCCCCCGTGGGAATCGAACCCACAACCCTGGCGTTGCAAACGCCATGCTCTATCAACTGAGCTACATCCCTGCCGGCCATTCCCTCCCCTACCCTGGACAACGCTAGGCCAATTGTGCGCTGCCCATGAGTCTCCCGGTCACGGCCGGTCACTCCCGGTCACGGCCGGCTGCGACAGAGCCTGGTTACGCCACAATACCAACCTAAATGACAGAGTGAAAAGAAGTAAGACTGTACAGAATAAAACTATTCCAAAACATGCATCCTGTTTGCAATAAGGCACTAAAGTAAAACTGTAAAAAACAAAGTGCTATGTTTGGGGCAAATCCAACACAACATATCACTGAGTCCCACTCTTCATATATTTAAGCATGGTGGTGGCTGCATCATGTTATGGGTATGCTTGTCAGCAAGGACTATGGTGTTTTTTGGGATAAAAATAAATGGAATAGAGCTGAGCACAGGCAAAATCCTAGAGGAAAACCTGGTTCAGTCTGACACTGGGAGATAAATTCACCTTTCAGCAGGACAATAACCTAAAACACAAGGCCAAATATACACTGGAGTTGCTTACCAAGACGACATTGAGTGGCCTAGTTATAGTTTTGCCTTAAATCGGCTTGGAAATCTATGGCAAGATTTAAATGACTTAAAAAATACAAAACAGAAATACCTTATTTGCATAAGTATTCAGACTCTTTCCTATGAGACTCGAAATTGAGCTCAGGTGCATCCTGTTTCCATTGATCATCCTTGAGATGTTTCTACAACGTGATTGGAGTCCACCTTCGCCCCAGTCTGAGGTCCTGAGCGCTCTGGAGCAGGTTTTCATCAAGGATCTCATTGTACTTTGCTCCATTCGTCTTTCCCTCAATCCTGACTAGTCTCCCAGTCCCTGACACTGAAAAACATCCCCACAGCATAATGCTGCCACCAGCATGCTTCACTGTAGGGATGGTATTGGTCAGGTGATGAGCGGTGCCTGGCTTCCTCCAGACGTGACGCTTGGCATTCAGGCCAAAGAGTTCAATCTTGGTTTAATCAGACCAGAGAATCTTGTTTCTCATGGTCTGAGAGTCCTTTAGGTGCCTTTTGGCAAACTCCAAGAGGGCTGTCATGTGCCTTTTACTGAGGAGTGGCTTCCGTCTGGCCATTCTACCATAAAGGCCTGATTGGTGGAGTGCTGCAGAGATGGTTGTCCTTCTGGAAGGTTTTCCCATCTCCACAGAGGAACTCTGTAGCTCTGTCAGAGTGACCATCGGGTTCTTGGTCACCTCCCTGACAAAGGCCCTTCTCCGCCGATTGCTCAGTTTGGCCGGGCAGCCAGCTCTAGGAAGGGTCTTGGTGGTTCCAAACTTCTTCCATTTAAGAATGATGGAGGCCACTGTGTTATTGGGGACCTTCAATGCTGCAGATATTTTTTGGTACCCTTTCCCAGATCTGTGCCTCGACACAATCCTGTCTCGGAGCTCTACGGACAATTTCTTCGACCTCATGGCTTGGTTTTTGCTCTGACATGCACTGTCAACTGTGGGACCTTATATAGACAGGTGTGTGCCTTTTCAAATCATGTCCAATCAATTAAATATACCACAGGTGAACTCCAATCAAGTTGTAGAAACATCTCAAGGATGATCAATGGAAACAGGATGCACCTGAGCTCAATCTCGAGTCTCATAGCAAAGGGTCTGAATACTTATGCAAATAAGGTATTTCTGTTTTGTATTTTTTATAAATTATAATTTTTTTTGAAAAACCTGTTTTCACTTTGTCATTATGAGGTATTGTGTGTAGATTGATGAGGGAAAATTTTTATTTAATCCAATTTAGAATAAGGCTGTAACGTAACAAAATGTGGAAAAAGTCAAGGGGTCTGAATACTTTCCGAAGGCACTGTATGTAAATTCGATATTTATGTATTTCATTTTAAATCAATTTGCAAAAAAATATATATATGTTTCCACTTTGTCATTATGGGGTATTGTGTGTAGATAGATGGGTGAGAAAAAAATATATTTAATCAATTTTGCCTGTTGACAACAAACTGTGGAATAAGTCAACTGGTATGAATACATTCTGAAGGCACTGTAGGTCTGGTCTGAAGGTGGATACTGTAAAACTACAGTCATTTACGACAAGGGAATGTAATGCTGTTGTGCTCGTGCCAGAACGAGAAATACGATGAGGTTGGGAAAAGTTTGCCCTGAGGACGTTCATTCACATAAACCGCAGTAAACAAGTCCTGCTTTGTAACATTCAAGCGTGGGTTGGAGAGGGGGGGGGGAATCCACCCTGGAGCATGGCTTACAGATGTAGCATGTTAATTTGAGCCAGTTTGCTACAGCAGGAAAATAATCCTGCCGCAACAAGAAATGTGGATTATAATTAATATAAATGTTTTGAAGGGGTTGATACATTTTTCGTTGAGGCATAACAATTCTGACCTTTTAAAGTGGAAATTACAAACTTTAGAAGCCTTTTTAAACCTTGAGCACACTACAAGTCTACATTTCCTGCAGTGCAGGACAATTCTCAGGAACAAAACAGTGATCAAATTAATATCCTACATCTGTATTATAGACATCGGTGAGTGACGGGCAGGGTTGGGGTCAATTCACCTCCGTTTAACTGAGTTGGTGAATTCAGGGTCTGGATTGGAAATTCAGTTCAGGAATTATAGAAACTTTCTTTGAAAATAACTGACCATTCACCAATTCATACATACAGTACATGCATCGCATTTTTGGATTGAGTAAATAGAAATTGCCCCCAAGGTTGGTGATTGGACTGAGATAACTGAACACTGGTGTTGGCCTGTTAGACATTTTACACCTGTACTAGTTGTAACACCCCTCCCTTTATTTCCCATCTTTCCTAAACAGACAACCCCTAACTCACCTTCACACAGCTGTATGAATGTCCAACAGCAGAGCAGATTATCTGTCCAACCATCTCTAATCCCTTAACTCCTTTTAAAAAGTTCCTTGTGATTTTGTCTGATAAAATGACAACTTCACCTGTCTAAGTCAACAAGATGAACCTGATAAAAAAGCACTCTAGACATATGAAATGCAATCTCCTATGTGCTGTCAATAGTTGTTGTAATGGTTGAATGCTTCACAGCTCAGTCAGACATACTGAGTTACATCAGGTAAGTGATATAAGACATACATATACTGTATGGCAGTGCTGATGTGTACTTCACAAATACTGTGATTCATTTCTAGTTGAGTCATGCACAGTTATGCTGGTATATTGAAAGTATATTGAAAAACGGTCATATTAATTGATTGGACATTTCTCTTTATTTCCTAAACTTTTTTTTGATTTCCTGAAATAAGTGAGTTGAAAAAGAGTTGATCTTGATCCCAAGCCTGGCACTTTGGATGCCTCAGAGTGTTAGCCAATACAAGGTGTTTTTGCCTCTTACTATAATGCACAAAATGCACAAATACAAACTTATAACATCTATCATCTAGTATGATTATTACCTGGTGAAGTCGATGATGATGTCAGCTCTCCCACTGCTGACCTCGGTAAACTTCAGGGGCGTGACGTCACTCCACACACGCAGCGCCTCCTGTAGGATTCGACGCACTTTCTCCTTACACAGCTGCCATGGGAAGCGCATGATCCTGTGACACACACACACACACACACACACACACACACACACACACACACACTTGTGTCAGGGACCACCCGTGTGATTGGCATCTTTGTGTTCTACCCATAATCCTCTTTTGCAGGGAGCAGAGTGAGTGCCACCCTTCTCTGGTTGCTTTATGGGCCACGGGGTGACCCTGGCCTCGGCCCGGGATAATCTGGCTGTTGTGAGAGAGAGGCTGCAGTAAAGTGGGCGCAATGGCAGATCAACTGACACCATGATGGCATGGTTCATATCCAGCAACATGAACAAAGACTATGATATAGAGGTGCTTGCATACTGACCCAACTAACCAACCAACAACCTTTATTCAGAATCATGTATTCTGATTCATACTTCAGTATTTCAAGGCATAGGTCATGTGCAGTACATAGCAACATAACTTTCACTTGTTCACAGTTGATTACCAGAGAAGGCTGAAGAGAGAGTTGACGGAGGTTGTTTGTGCTTCCAAACAGTAAGACCTGCTTTATTATGACAGGCGTTGACAGACAGAAAGGGCAGCGCTTGTTTTCACCAGGCTACTCCGTATGGAGGACATTTAAACAACCGTGACATGTTTTGTCTCAATCTCCATCTCGTTTTTCATATTATGGGTTACCCAGTCGGTGCCAATGCCATTATCCACCACCTCTTTCATTCGCAATCTGTTGCCCCCCTGCCCTGCAGGCATTTTCTTGATACCAGCCATGGCGGTTACCACTTACATTCTTCATTTTAGATTTCATAATGGCTTGTGTGGGTTGTTGGGGGCGTTAGAGAAATGGATTGTGTCTCATTGTGTGGAGGCCCTACATGCATGCCCAAACAGGAGAGGCCATCCTTGTGCTGTTACTGTTTAACCCCACTCTACCTATAAAAAAAACTCCCTAACCCTGCGAGGGTAATGCATGCCGGGGCCTGATTCCACCTACAGCCCCAGATGCCTGCAGCAGACTCCCATTAAAGTGCAACTGACAGTGTTTAAGCAACATGAAATCGTATTAAAATCATATACACCCCCAGGAACCTTTAAAAAAAAAAAATGTGACAAGCGAGCGCTTATACAGTGGGGAAAAAAAGTATTTAGTCAGCCACCAATTGTGCAAGTTCTCCCACTTAAAAAGATGAGAGAGGCCTGTACTTTTCATCATAGGTACACGTCAACTATAACAGACAAATTGAGAAAAGAAATTCCAGAAAATCACATTGTAGGATTTTTAATGAATTTATTTGCAAATTATGGTGGAAAATAAGTATTTGGTCAATAACAAAAGTTTCTCAATACTTTGTTATATACCCTTTGTTGGCAATGACACAGGTCAAACGTTTTCTGTAAGTCTTCACAAGGTTTTCACACACTGTTACTTGTATTTTGGCCCATTCCTCCATGCAGATCTCCTCTAGAGCAGTGATGTTTTGGGGCTGTCGCTGGGCAACACGGACTTTCAGCTCCCTCCAAAGATTTTCTATGGGGTTGAGATCTGGAGACTGGCTAGGCCACTCCAGGACCTTGAAAGGCTTCTTACGAAGCCACTCCTTCGTTGCCCGGCGGTGTGTTTGGGATCATTGTCATGCTGAAAGACCCAGCCACGTTTAATCTTCAATGCCCTTGCTGATGGAAGGAGGTTTTCTCTCAAAATCTCACGATACATGGCCCCATTCATTCTTTCCTTTACACGGATCAGTCGTCCTGGTCCCTTTGCAGAAAAACAGCCCCAAAGCATGATGTTTCCACCCCCATGCTTCACAGTAGGTATAGTGTTATTTGGATGCAACTCAGCATTCTTTGTCCTCCAAACACGAAGAGTTGAGTTTTTACCAAAAAGTTATATTTTGGTTTCATCTGACCATATGACATTCTCCCAATCCTCTTCTGGATCATCCAAATGCACTCTAGCAAACTTCAGACGGGCCTGGCTTAAGCAGGGGGACACGTCTGGCACTGCAGGATTTGAGTCCCTGGCGGCGTAGTGTGTTACTGATGGTAGGCTTTGTTACTTTGGTCCCAGCTCTCTGCAGGTCATTCACTAGGTCCCCCCGTGTGGTTCTGGGATTTTTGCTCACCGTTCTTGTGATCATTTTGACCCCACGGGGTGAGATCTTGCGTGGAGCCCCAGATCGAGGGAGATTATCAGTGGCCTTGTATGTCTTCCATTTCCTAATAATTGCTCCCACAGTTGATTTCTTCAAACCAAGCTGCTTACCTATTGCAGATTCAGTCTTCCCAGCCTGGTGCAGGTCTACAATTTTGTTTCTGGTGTCCTTTGACAGCTCTTTGGTCTTGGCCGTAGTGGAGTTTGGAGTATGACTGTTTGAGGTTGTGGACAGGTGTCTTTTATACTGATAACAAGTTCAAACAGGTGCCATTAATACAGGTAAAGAGTGGAGGACAGAGGAGCCTCTTAAAGAAGAAGTTACAGGTCTGTGAGAGCCAGAAATCTTGCTTGTTTGTAGGTGACCAAATACTTATTTTCCACCATAATTTGCAATTAAATTCATTAAAAATCCTACAATGTGATTTTCTGGATTTTTCTTTCTCATTTTGTCTGTCATAGTTGACGTGTACCTATGATGAAAATTACAGGCCTCTCTCATCTTTTTAAGTGGGAGAACTTGCACAGTTGGTCGCTGACTAAATACTTTTTTCCCCCACTGTATATGGTCATTTTTCACATTTTCATAAATGTATGGAATATTTGGGAATGACGTACAGTACCAGTCCAAAAATGTGGACACACCTACTCATTCAAGGGTTTTTCTTTATTTTTACAATTTTCTACATTGTAGAATAATAGTGAAGACATCAAAACTATGAAATAACACATATGGAATCATGTAGTAACCAAAAAAGTTTTAAACAAATCAAAATATATCTTAGATTTTAGATTCTTCAAAGTAGCCACCCTTTGTCTTGATGACAGCTTTGCACACTCTTGGCATTCTCTCAACCAGCTTTACCTGGAATGCTTTTCCAACAGTCTTGAAGGAGTTCCCACATATGCTTAGCACTTGTTGGCTGCTTTTCCTTTTTACTCTGCGGTCCAACTCATCCCAAACCATCTCAATTGGGTTGAGATCGGGTGATTGTGGAGGCCAGGTCATCTGATGCAGCACTCCATCACTCTCCTTCTTGGAGGTGTGTTGGGTCATTGTCCTGTTGAAAAACAAATGATAGTCCCACTAAGCGCAAACCAGATGGGATGGTGTATCGCTGCAGAATGCTGTGGTAGCCATGCTGGTTAAGTGTGCCTTGAATTCTAAATAAATCACAGACAGTGTCACCAGCAAAACACCATCACACCTCCTCCTCCATGCTTCACAGTGCGAACCACACATGCGGAGATCATCCATTCACCTACTCTGCGTCTCACAAAGACACAGAGGTTGGAACCAAAAATCTCAAATTTGGACTCATCAGACCAAAGAACAGATTTCCACCGGTCTAATGTCCATTGCTTGTGTTTCTTGGCCCAAGCAAGTATCTTCTTCTTCTTTGGTATCCTTTATCAGTGGTTTCTTTGCAGCAATTCGACCATGAAGGCCTGATTCACGCAGTCTCCTCTGAACATTTTATGTTACTTGAACTCTGTGAAACATTTATTTGGGCTGCAATTTCTGAGGCTGGTAACTCTAATGAACTTATCCTCTGCAGCAGAGGTAACTCTGGGTCTTCCTTTCCTGTGGCGGTCCTCATGAGAGCCAGTTTCATCATAGTGCTTGATGGTTTTTGCGACTGCACTTCAAAAAACTATAAAAGTTATTTAAATGTTCTGGATTGACTGACCTTCATGTCTTAAAGTAATGATGGACTGTCATTTCTCTTTGCTTATTTGATCTGTTCTTGCCATAATATGGTCTTGATCTTTTACCAAATAGGGCTATCTTCTGTATACCACCCCTACCTTGTCACAACACAACTGATTGGCTCAAACGCATTAAAAGAAGGAAAGAAATTCCACAAATTAACTTTTAACAAGGCACACCTATTAATTGAAATGCATTCTAGGTGACTACCTCATGAAGCTGGTTGAGAGAATGCCAAGAGTGTGCAAAGCTGTCATCAAGGCAACGGGTGGCTACTTTGAAGAATCTCAAATATAAAATATATTTTGATTTGTTTAACGTGCGTTTGGACAATTAATAGACACTACAGTAAATAAAACATCTGTCTTGTCCAAGACCGGAGTCTACGCAGACCGGTGCGCCATAGCCAATCAGAGCTACAATAGGCCTATATGCAAATAAGCCATTTGCCACACGGGCCTGCACTTTGAACTGGAGTGTGTGTTTACAGGCAGCAGCAAATGACACCTGCATCTCTAAATGTAGCCACTGAAAAACGATATGAGGGGCAAAAGTCGGTCACTCACCCACTCCTCCAATGGCATGACATCCTCCTAGTAGCTAGCTAACGTTAGGCTCCGTGTTTTTAGCTTGCTAAATGAATAATGAATGCAGCATTGCTGTATGGTGCACTCGAAATGTCTTGTAGTTGAGTAGCCAGCATAGGCTACTATTGAAATGTTGCTGTAATAGGCCTGCATGTTTTTCCTTTGCATGGTGTTTTATTGCAGGTTTAGTTGTTTGGTTATTCATTCACAGTGCTTGCTGTGACTTGTATTGACATTCCCAGCCTTACAGTCGTCCGTTTTTCTTCAAAATATTGAGTCATTGAAACTGAAACGGTGCATCCTGAATGGGTGGAGGCAGCAAACAATGTACCAGGCCAGCTTTGATTTACAACCTGATAGCAATTTTTTTGGGACTACCAAGAAATGTATTGTTGAATTATATTAATCATGCATTGAACTATATCCATCTATTCTGCCAACAATGCCTTATGCTTCGAACACATCGACTGCGTCATTGTGTTTTGGTACACCAGAAGTACATTCATTTCCAATGGAACGCTGCGTTTGCCTTGCAGCATTGCGTTGCAGAGGCAGTTGCAGTGCGTTCTGTGTGGTGCATACGTTGGATTTATCG